GACCTAGCACTGGGTCAACGTGTAAACTAGAGTAAGTACATGTATTAATAAATATCAGGCTGCAGACAGACCAGTCGTAAATTAAATTTATGTACGTGTAACTACATATAATAAAATTGTAACGACACGCCGTTTGTACTGTACATGAAATATACATATTGAAGAAACATTGACTCACTTCTGTTGCTATTTTTCTGTTTTGTTTTATACTACTTAGAATGGCAAACATGCTGACGGCCCACATAATGGAAAATGTTAACCGTCGCCTATAGACATGAGCAACACCTTGGACATAACAGAGTATACTGTTTCGCCCATGATACCCGCATGCGTTGCTATTCCTGAGGACTCAGGTGTTATTCCTCTGTACCCTGTAAATTCACGCTATATCTCACCCTTCAAACCGAAACACAGACATGCAAACACAACTGCTTCACGGTAGAAACACGGATGGGACAGAAGTAGCCAAGCAAACGACTTTTGTACAAAGTCTCCCTCTGGTAAGTATTAAGTCTTATAGTAGTGGAAACAATATTGTTTACCAATTTAAATCTCACTATATTTATGTTCTGGCAGTACACAAAAATAACTGCACCAAATTGAATGTAGTTTTCACAATTGTGATTCTCAAAGTACTTTCAAAATGCTCGCTCGCGAAATTATAAGCAAAAACAAATATTCATTCCTAATATACATCAAATGCGGGTGGGAGGGTTTGTTATAATGGAGACTAAAACGCCATTGTTAGCAATATACCCAACCAGGTCGACCTCCACAAAGTCCCCCCTTGGAAACTATGCTAAATTCCAGGCGTATTCATCACGATGGGCTAATTAAACTGCCTTTTTATTCTAACCTATCATCCGTCACTAATGCCCCGCCAGCTTATACCGATAGCGCAAGCGGGGTTACCATTCCGTTAACATCCATTAAAAAAAAATACTACAAAAGAAAATGAAATAATTATAAACAATGTAATATGTAGTTTAAGTCACGAATACAGTTTTGAACAAATTAACAATATTTCACAATAGAACGAAACCCAATATGGAATAAGAGCGCAATTTTTTATTTCAGTAACGATTACAAGAGACGAGGAAGTCAGTTTGGTATGCGAGTAATTTAATCATTCAGTCATAACCGCACATTGTTTATTATCGAAGCATGTGCACGAGTACGTATATAAACATGTAATATCACATGACAAAATGGAGTCCGTCTTGTCCGTCTGTCTTTCTTTCACAACAACTCGAATGGAGCAAGATATTGCATATGTGTTATTATTAACGTCATAACGTTATTACAAACAATGATCAGATTCAAATAGATGTCACAACTGTATAATTTTTCGCTGAAGTAAACTCTTGCTGGCTCTTGAGCTTGCTTGGTTATGATCAAATTTTAATTCGAAGACACCACACCGGCATACACTTACCAACAGTGTATGCCGGCTGCAAATCCAGCGACCCGGAGGTTGTCGCCTCCGGACTAGAAGCCGGGGTAATGGGGTACGCCCCGAGGCCCCTACCTCGCCCGCCCACACATCATCTGGCGGGCAAAGAGAAGCACCTGTTGTTGTTGTTGTAATTTTAATTCTAAGTATGATATGTATAAGCTACGAAATAAATTCCCCTCTGAAGTTTTTGCTACACTAGAACATTTTTTATAGGGAAGGACACCCAGCAGTTAATGACTGATTTAACAACATATTTAATATTTGTTCATTCAATACAGTTTTGAGTACATTTATTTATTTATTTTTAAAAGGTACATCAACAGTGTAAATACATATATTAATTTTAATCGATATACAGGGCTTGCATCTTGCATTTACACCAATTACAGATGTACACAACATTTTCTTAAGTCGTCAATTACATATTACCAAAACTGACACCAACATAACAATAAAAAACATACAAGTAATAAAAATAAGAATGCTTAAAATATACAATTATTAAAATTATTACATTCATAGACTTCTATAATATAACATTTAGAGTACAAAGTCAAAACAATAGCTTATGTAACAATAGCTTAAAATATTAATATACGTGATATAACTAAGTGGCTTTTTTTCATCGACTTAAGATAGATGAGATTATGTTACGAATGTGTATTTCCGTCCAAATCCGAATTATTTTTACATTTTATTTATGTACGATCTCTAATATATTAAGGCTACCACCGTTCCTTTCTTGAAATAACCCGACCTAGAATTAGACCTTTATTACGCCTCCTCTACACAAATTTCCACGAAGGTCGTCAAATCAGGACGTCAAGATAACCCAGATCAAAGTACTAGTAAAATAATGAAGTAGATCGGATTATGTGGTCAAATATATCTACGGGTTAACATGATACCGATGTTTCACGATAAATCGTCGTGAGCTCGTTTCTATCACAAGAGGCGGGTGCTGGGGACGGCTGGGTCTTTGTGCTCCATAAATAGAAGTGGCCGTGAGGTATCGCCCGTGAATACTTGCCTAATTCCGTTTGACAGTGGGAGCGTAGCGGCCGACCGCGACTAATGCAACCCGATCTAATGAGTCGGCTGCGGCCAGCCAGCTGTAGTTACCTATGTCTCTTACATTGTACCGGCCACAGTTGGTAACACAAAACAATAACACGTAATCACCTAATACCTTAGTAGAGTCTTTATTCTGCTCACAAAGTACCAGGCTGGGTCATTACACGATGTTTTGCAAGTTGTGTCTGTGATGGGTAGTAAATACAAACGAGGCCTTGTCGGCAAAAATAACGAATAGGATAAAAACATATCCTGGCCTTCTATTAAAATATAATACGAGTATAATATACATTTGAAACCATACTTTTTATTTATTACTTATTCACAATCTTTCAAATTTTCAACTATTTTCTAATTGGTCTGTATCTACTTTGGGCGTTGTTAGTCGTAATCATTGCCAGTGGCTAAGTGATATTCATTTATTTACTTTTTTTACAACACAGGGGGCAAACGAGCATGCGGCTCACCTGATGGTAAGTGACTACCGCCGCTCATGAATACCCGCAACACCGGAGGAATTGCAGGTGAACTTTTTTTTTTATACGACTTAGAATGGCAAACAAGCTGACGGCCCACCTGATGGGAAGTGGTAACCGTCGCCTATAGACATTAGCAGTACCATGTACATAACAGAGTATACTGTTTCGTCCATGATACGCCCCATGCGTTGCCATTCCTGAGGACTCGGGTGTTATTCCTCTGTACCCAGTAAATTCACGCCATATCCCACCCTTCAAACCGTAACACAGCCATGCAAACACAACTGCTTCATGGTTGAAACACGAATGGGACAGAGGTACCCAAGCAAACGACTTTTGTACAAAGTCTCCCTCTGGTACTTCTGGCCTTGTACAAAGGAATGCTCTTTCTTGAATGTTACGATATCGTATCGATTCGGAAATACTATTACTTCTATATTTAATGTGATATTTATCGCACTGTATTATCGCCAATAGAACTGGTTATTGGCTCTCAGCTGCTGTGTCCTTTCACTAATTATAACGCTTTTTCACACGACGGTAATTGTCTAGCGTCGCAGTTGTATTGTAGCACATTCACAGTCGGGGAAATAGTCATAGCGTGTGAGTGGTCGCGCTGCGGCCGTAGAAATTATGTATAATAGACTCATTCGGTGATAATTATGTTTTAATTGGCACTGAATTATAAATGTGGACACTGAACATTGTTGGTGCGAATGTTGCATGAGAGCTAGCGGAACACACTCGGTAAAAAAAATATATATACGCCCAAGTTTATACTACCCGCTAAGTTTTGGTATATTAATACTAATGAAGAATAATTTTCAAACTAACAACAAAGTAATACTGACAACTTTCTTCATTTGGAAGTTTACAATCAGAAGATATCGATTAATTTGTGACGATTGAAGCTGCCATTTTTCTATGTGGGATTAACTGTTTACTACAGTGTAAAATTTCATTGTAAACACATAATTTGCATTCTTAATTAAATATTTTCAATTTAATGTATATATAAAACACCTTGCCGTTTACTAGTGTGTGTATGTGTGTGTGTGTGTGTGTTCACGGTTGAAGTCATATTTTGCGGAGCAAACTTAATGTATGTGGTCGTGCTTGTTGTGGTTTGGTCACGTCTATCCTCCGCGTGTCGCAGCCATCTAGCTAATATACAATAAAAACATGGTTGATTATGTATTATATATACAGACACCGGAAAAACATTAGCCTCCTTTCTTCGGCAGTCAGGTAGCAATAATTATGTTGGGTTTTTATTCTAAATAAATAAATTGCATTTAAGGTGCCATAAATGTCCACGCGGTAAGTCCTTATAAGTCAATGCTTCCAATATACTTGTAATTATTTAAAATGAGTCAGTAATTCATAGGTCCGTTCATTTTGAACCAGTTTTTGCTAAATTTAAAGCCAGATATCAGACGTTTATTTGTAACATATGGTTTACGTAAGCAATAAACGGTCTTGTTTTACTTTTTCATTCTGTAAGCCTTTGTGAAGGTGGTACAGATGGTGGATTTATCGCCGGCGGCGGCGCGCGACGTATTCGTCTCTCAGCCACCCTTCACCTTTCGCTCAGAGAATTTCGTTCGCTCCATTCCCTTTGAAGTCGCTACTCATAAACCGTCGTCCGCGTAGCTCGAGACACGACACGACACTTATAATTACTGTCATGTGCTAGTGTGTAAAAAGAAACTTGGCACCGTGCGTGATACTAACGCGTAATGATCCACGGTGACGCGCGGCTCCGCGGCGTGGTGCTAATGTAACCATGTCTGTCCGTTCGTTTCGTACGCCTCCAATCTTTAAGTGGCCCGAGGAAGATAATTAACACCGTTTCATATTATATCTGCTCTGCTCCAAATAAAATTAGCTATTCTAAAAAGTATAGCATAGAATGGGCCACTCTACCGTTTTACATCACAAAGTTAATGAATGGTGAGGCGACTAAAGGAACTTAATGATCACGGGATAGGCATCAGTTTTTTAAAACATTACCAAAGCCTAACTTTGGTTGCCAACCCGCCTGCCAAGCATGACAACTGCTGACAAAAGTTCCCTTTATAGGGCAAGCCCATGTTTTTGATTGTTCTTGATTACAATGTAATATTATAATATTTACCTTTCAGATCTTCACAAAATCTAAAACTTAAAGCAATACCTGCCACCGATGTGATCATGGAACTGACACATGGTCACACTCAGCAAACGATAGTGAGGACAATGCTTGGAGTTTCGGAGAACACGAATATCTGTAAGTTAATTAGAACAACCGACACAGTTGGAAGAATCTGCAAGCTATAGTAGAATAAGAAAGATCACACGCTTAGATTAAAAGTTTTCGAGTATATTATGCAGGTACAGTATGCGCAGTGGTATCTGGCAAGTTCCACGAGATGAAATATGTTGGATACAATATGAATGAATGCAAGCGGTGTGGAGTGCTTTATGGTAAAAATAAAAATACCGAATAATTCAGTTACTATTTGCATTGAGTTCTGACTTCTCGTATCTATCTTGCTTTCTATATCTATATTGCTTTGTCTAAGGTTTTGATATGGTTTACGTCAAATAATCTAGTACTTAATTCAAAAAAAACTAAATGTATCAGATTTTCCATATCCAATACTAAGCAAGTGAATACCGCTATTAGATTAGACCACCAGGATTTAGACTTTGTAGATAAAACCACTTTTCTTGGCATAGTAGTTGATTATAAGTTGCAATGGGGCTCCCATATATTTGAATTGGCCAACAGGCTGAGTTCAGCTGCTTATGCTGTTAGAAAAATCCGACAATTAACTGATACAATAACAGCTAAGCTTGTATATTTTAGTTACTTTCACAGTATCATGTCATATGGCATTATATTATGGGGGAGGGCTGCTGACATCGATACAATCTTTGTACTGCAAAAAAGAGCAGTTCGGTCAATATTTAATTTGCCTTCTCGGGAATCTCTTAGAGAATATTTTAAGCAAACAGGTATACTTACTGTTCCCTCGCAATATATATACGAAAACATTATGTATGTACGTAAAAATATAAATCTTTTTAAAAATAACAGTGACATACATAATTTCAATACAAGAAATAAAAACAAATTGAATGTTCCTTGTTATCGCCTTAGAAAAGTCAGTACATCTTTCATGGGGAACTGTATACGTTTTTATAATAAACTTCAGATGACGTTTTACAATTAAATGAAAGAAAATTTAAGACATATATAAAAAGGACTCTCTGTACAAAAGCATATTATAAATTAAATGACTATTTAAATGACAAAACTGCATGGATTTGAATTTTGTATTAATGTGAATTGTATTGTAAATGTAATTATTGCATTTTTTCTTAAATCAATATTATTTTCTATAGTAATTATTATAATTATAGATTGACGTATCATAAGTATCTGTAACAGATGTATATGAATAAAGATGATTGATTGATTGATTGATTGATATCCAGCGAGAATATGGTTACCTCTTATTGTTTACTATCGTATTATAGAAAAAAATATAATTATATTCAATAATAAAATACGAGTATATACAAGTTGAAATATATAAAGTTAGACTCGGTCGCACACCCACATATCTTGGACTATTCGGGTCGAGTGTTCTAAATCAATCTCAAGCATGTACAGATTTTTTTTTTAATTAGCAAATATAAAATAGTTCACACGCACGTTTTGTGACTGCTTGTCAGCTGTTATAAATAAGTATGTCATTCTAATGTCCGATTAACTGATTAACGACAAAAATGTCAGAACCATTTTGTTTGTTTCTTTCATTCTTTTTTACTTTCAGTGAGAATGACAAACGAATTAACAGAAACCTTATGGAAAGTTATGACTAGTCTATACTTATGCGCATCTATATAGTCGGCCCTAAGACCATAATCTCATTATTTGTGAGGCTCTTCGAGTGCGAATGTTATCTGTTACAAACTATCAGGGAGTCGTTTGGAATATCAAGTCTAAGTCATCGTATACATAAAATTTTAATGAAGCTTGCAGTTGAATTAAAGATGAAAGAGTGTAACGCACCCTAATATCAAGAATTTCGTGGCCACTGTCGTTAATTATACATAAAAGCTTCTAATGTGGCATACCTACGATGGCTTTCCCTTAGAGTCCCTGTACCGCAATCAGTGAATGGCGTTTTGAGGCAATGTATTGAATGATGGAATCTGTACATCCCCAAATAAAAGTTTTCAGTAAGCATTTCATTGCTGAAAATTACTATAAACGCACAAAAACAAAAACTAAACCATGTTTATAATAAACCTATTAAAATAGATCCATACTCACATAACATGTAAGTAGATTGCCCCAAAAAGCACTTCAAACAAATCGATGCAAGCTTTCTACTTACAGAATAAATAATTTCTTCACATTAAGTGATAAAAACTAAATTAACGAAAATAGTAGGTACAATTATACATTTTACATTTGTATATACCACGTACTAGTAAAATTTTTCTAAATATACTGAAATGCATAAAATGCAAATTTTGCTCGCAACCAAACACAAATTTACAGCTGCCAAACAAGATAATCCGGCAGAGCTGCTCGCCCAAACAGGCGTATCTAACTATCATAAAACCCTGAAGCTGCACGCGACGCGTACAACCCGTATTCGTGGAAACGTAGTCCTTGTTAGGCCTGTTTATTTACGTTTCCCCGCAGTTTGTGTAAACGCGTTTTTTTGTCGCGTAAATAAATAAAATCCTAAAATAGTTGAGCCAAAATGCATCGCCATTGTGCACGCTTCGCGTACCGTTTTATTACTGTTACTGCAAGCTTGCATCGTCCTGCATCTGTTGTTATTTCGTTGTAAACACAATTAAATCAAAATAATTCTTTGCTATTGTAAGATTAGTCTTTACGTAATCCAATTAAAGTGAACCGTTCCGTATGGGAGCCTATTTTATTGTATTACACCAACATATTAAAATAGGATCCCATAATCTGCGAGTTACTAAATGGTGCGGATGATGCAGACCACTAAGATGTAATTTATGAAGACTATTTATGTAAGGAAATGTAAGTTATAACATGAATACAAAACCATACAAGGGTTAAAGCAATGTACTGTTATTGAAAGTGCGTAACTGACTGAACTTAGAACTTTGTAGATTTATTATCAAAACTTTAATTAATAGAACCGTATTTATAGGGTCAAAATACAATCATGAGTGTGTTCAGATCACTCGTATCTGCTACTGTATTCCGATTTCAAATTTTAACCATTTCTGTATTGTCGTTTTTTTTCTAATTATTTGAGGTGGTCACTCCATCTAAGTGGTCCTACACTGTGTTTACCCGTACGAGGCCGCCACTCAAGAATCTTTCTTCCCCATCGGTTGTAGGTTCTTCGAGCTATGTGACCAGCCTGTCAGTTACTTTAGTTCTTTTGCGGATATCCTCGTTTCGGATTCTATCATGTAAAGAAACTCCGAGCATAGTCCCCTCTATAGCTCGCTGAGTAATTTGAAGTTTTTCATACGGGCAACCGTGTAGAACCATATTTCGGTTCCCTAGATCATCGCTGGCAATTATTATCACGTGTGATTCTATAATTGTTTGATAAAGTACTCATAATATACCTCTTATAAAGTTGATGTCACAGGAAAATATGTTTTGAGACAATAATGAAAGATAAACAACGGAATGATAGGTATCGTAATCTTTTATGACCAAAACCGTATTGCTGAATGGATTTGATGAATTATTTATCAGAGCGGCAATTAATGCTCGAGCGAAAATATTCAAACAATCCCTGGCCAACGAATACAATTTTGAAAGTGGTCTTACCGTTCGAGTTTAACCTGAATTGAATTTCTATAAAATCGATTCACTTGAGGCAGATAGAAGAGCAAAACGTACTATAAAGAAATGTAATATAAAGAAGTATTCCCGTGTGGTCCCGGCATAGAGTAAACCACCTCTTCCTTTCCCGTGGGTCTCGTAAGAGGCGACTAAGCGAGCTTATGATTCAGGCATGGGCAGCAACGTCCCTTTTAAAATATTACCAAAAGCCAAACTACGGTTGCCAACTTGTCTGCCAAGCTTGGCAACTAATGGCAATATCCTCCTAAGAGGAGGCTTTTGTTCAGCAGTGGACAGTTAAAAGCTGTTATGATGATGATGATGATAAAGAAATAGATAAATAAGCATCAGGAGCTACTGATATAGAATCGTAAGTTTAAATTTTCAACTATCTGATGAGTAAAATATTAATATAAGTAATAACATAAAGTTGTAAGCACATTTTTTTTAAATAGGTATCTTTCAATAAAAAAAATAATAAATACAGTCATCGTACATTAAAATGTATCTTAAACCATTTATAATCGTTATGAGATTTGTATATGTATTTATCATAATGTGCAGCGACAGCGACGAGGCCGCGGCGTGACGGAGGCGGAACGTGGGCGATGCGGCGGCGGCGCGGCGGCGCGGCAGCGCGGCGTCACAGCGTCTCCCACGAGGCCGCGGGCGCGCCATCTGCCGCGCACATGTCGTGTGACGTCACCAGCGTGCGAATTCGCACCACATCCGCCGCCGCCGCCGCCGCTGCCGCCGCCGCCGCTACGACACAGGCCGCTCCGCGTGCTCTCACGTTGCTGAAGAGAGCTGTGTGCACATTACTAATCAGATTTCTATTAAATTGTCAACATTTGCACATGATTGTGCATTCGTCGGATGTATTAAAAAACGGTCAGTGAATATCTCGTTTTGGTTATAGGCAGGTATAACACTACACCCCGCTCGTCGCGCACTACTGAACATAGGTCTCTCACATATTTCATTACAAAATACTGAACTCCTGAACTAGCTGCATTTATCGACTATGTAAAATTTCAGAGGTCATCACTCTATCTCGTGCGGTATCTCCAGCGTTACAGGTTTCATATTATTATGGGAATGTCACTCGAGAATCTTTGTCAGTAATGCTCATTTAATAACATTCGAAAATAGTTTTTGAATGCAATCCAAATACAGGATTAATTCATTACAATCTAGTAAATTGAAAAAATGTACCTTCCAACAACTCTAATGGATGGATTCGAACCCGCCTCTCAGCTATCCGGACATAGAGCGTTTCCAATTTCACCATCGGAAAAATAGGTAGAATCAGACGACACCCCAACAACGATAACCTCCTTTGAACGAGTTAACAGTGAATAGTATGAAATAATATAGTTATAGTATACATAGTAGTATTACTCTGAAATTGGAACTTCTATAAAAATTCTTTTCTATTGATATTACTGTTTACATTTTAAAATATTGTTTATTGATTAAGAATTTTGAATACAGCATATACCTTCGTAACATAATGATATCAGAAATACATTTCAGATTCCTTGGTCGCAGATGTGCTCCTTGGACTGTGCAGTAGGCGGCGGAGGTAAGTAGACGGCGACATCCGTGTAGGTAGCTAGCAGCTAGCAACTACATACCGCGCATCACCTGGCCACATTGCGCGTCGAACAATCTGCATACATTATTATGTACACACGTGTTAACCCACTCTGACTAAATGATAGGGCTACCACATGCGAGCACTAGCCAACTCCACGAGGTATCGTTCATTCTTAATACTATGTCTAATATATACGGAGGCGAGGGAGAGGATTGTTAGTAACAGACTAGCATTCCCTTTGCCAGTAATATACCCTGCCAGATCGACTTTCACACACTAATCCAAGAAAGCATTGTGAATTCCTGCTAAATTCGCCACGATGGACCACTTTGAATCAACTAACCTGAATTTATCCTCAACCAATATCCCTCAGAAGTGGGTGCGAGTGACTCAGAACCATACTTTATGAAGCAGAGCTATGTTCAGAAGTGGACAATGGATGAGTCGTAATGAATAAATGATTCACCCTCGAACGGACAAATTTTCATTAGTTTAAACGTCGATTTCGGCAGTAACTTGACCGCGCTGCTCGTTACCTACCGTATTTTACATAAATTAGCTCAACAGCACAGTCATTCGACTGTGTTATTTATTTAGGACGGCCATGTGAAAATATAGACTGCACCATTCTCAATGTTAGTTTAACCATTACGTACCGTCATTCCAGCGTCGACGCGCCGCGTCCCTCGCCGGCACCACTTCACTACCGAAAGCTTTTTATTCAATAGTTTATTTTAGAAACAAATTGGGAACTCAACAGCTTTGAACCGATCTCACACTGTGTCGTCTAGATAACGCATTGTAAGACGAGCTGGCGTCTACGGGATCTGTATACTCGACTCCAACCTCGAACAAAGTGATTAATGCAGCGAGAGGCGCCCTTCCGATAATGCTCAGACACAAAGGAATAGTTCTGATCCGGCTACACGAAATCAGTCGCTATTACTATTGGGAAGAGGTTGGTGTTTGACTGCTGTGTTGTTGCCTACAATTAGTGGTGTAGTGGCCCATCATCCCATCAGCCGCTCGGCGACGTGTCACGTTAATGTACCGTCGCGATCGGGGCCCAACCCGGCCGAAGCCGCGACGGTCTGGTTTCTGGGCCACGCACTCATCCGCCCCACTACGTCAGTGTCAACCCGTCTGTCTCCGTGTGACAAGGCTTAAATTTAGCGATTGTTGTTGTTATTCATTGCTTAACACTTGAATAGGGTTGTCAAGCATGTATTAGAATTTTCTTGTAATCTCTATTGTAACATCATAAAAATGCTCTCTAACCCTCGACACAGATGACCTCGATAGTACATACATTGTTAGGTAACAGCAATATTTTTTTACCTAGTATAGATGGTAAAAATCTCTATGAACTTTTTATTTTTATTTACAGATACATTTAAGATAAACAAATCAAGTCAGTATCTATGATTAAGAGCCATAGCAATTAAGTGACCAACCCCAATTCGTTTCACTTGTAGCTGGAGAGCTGAAATGTTATTTAAGAGCAATTACTTATTCAAATTATGTGTATGCGCAATGCAATACTACATATAAACAAGATCTTTTGTATATACTTCGTGCTCTATGCATAAATTTAAACAAATAAGTACATTTACTGAACAATCTTCGGTAGATTATCACCTAAATACAAAATGTTCATCCAATGGCTCTGACTTGCAATAAACTAAATCAGTTCCACACTGCCCACCAACTGATGCATTAATAACGACAAGCTCGATTATTGTACAGCAATTATAGTGAAACTATGGCAGTTAACCAGCCGATATGACAACGTAATTACTAATGGCCCCGCATTATTCGCCGCGCCGCACCGCTCCGCACCGCACCGCACCGCACCGCACCGCGCCGCGCCGATCACGACCGACGACCGACGACCGACGACCGGCGGCGACGCGGCGTTCGCCCCGCGCCCGCACCCGCTCCATTACATCTCTTTGATGTCGTATCAGATTTAATAATCACTCTCAAGACATTTCTTTCACCCGGCCGCCTACTTATCTTATCCGAGCGACGACAATCAGCCCTTGCAACTCTTTTATGCTCTTCACCCCACTTGGAGCACTAAAATAACCGTATACTTTGATAATGTGTGCCGACCTTAAGCCTGGGAGAGTTTACGTTCGTTTTTCTCCCTCGAAGATTATTTCCATTGTAGTTCTAATCAGAATCAATACAATACGATGTCGCAGGTAAACTGGAATATCGTGTTTGAGTGGGGACCGCCCGGCCCGGCCCGGCCCGGCCCGGCTAGTGTTTAATCTGCTCTGAGCCCGTGTCTGCGGCCCGAAGCGGATTAATGCTTGTCATAAATATCATAAATATTGTAATTGTATGTTGTTGTACACAATTCATCATTACGAACGTGGCCAATCGTAAATTATGACAACTCAAGTAATAATTTACGCAGTTTTACAAATAAATAACTTTATATTCTGCTAAACAAAACTGTTAATTTATAGCCATTGTTTTGAGTTCACCGAATCACATTTTAATGTTTATTGTTATTGTAGATATTGACTGAAATCCGGATTACATCGCATATAGGATTATCGGGAAACGAGGAGGCTCACCGCTTGGCGAAATTAGCTGTAACGCAGGGTTCGGGAATTAATATATTACCAACATATATGGAAATTTTGTTTAAATTTAAAAAGTATTGTTACAATATATTCAGGAAATATTTTGACAAAAGGAGTAAAGAAAAAAGAATTTGGTATAAAACAATCCAATCCCAGTAAGTCGTAGTAGTAAGTAGTAGTTCATAAACATAAAAGAAAACAGAAATTTCCTTGTCACAACACAGATTACGCAAGACATTGTCCAAATGCAAAATCCAATCCAATGCATATCTTATGAAGAAAATTATTGTGATGTTTGTAACAGATTGGATGATGTTCAACATATGATATCCGAATGCAAAAAAAAAAAAAAAAAAAAAAAACAGAAAGAGAAGCTTTGATACAGAAATATAGTCTCAATAGACAAGATATTGTATTATTTTTAAATATACTCGCAGATCCACACTCCAAAGTGACAAAATTTTTAATTGCTGTATTTTTGTATCAATGATTCCCTTAATTAAAATAGACTACTAAAGTATTATTTATTACTTATGTATTAATTATGTATTAAATATGTGAAGTAATTTATTAAGGTTAGGGTATGATAGGGCTAACATATCCTTATAGCATCTAGCCTAGCCTAGCCTTATATAGAGAGCATCTAAATAAAGAGAAAAAAAATGGAAACCCATGCTTTCTGTATCGCTGTGTGTGCTGTGGCTGCGTTGTTTTAAAGCAATGCACTGTTTGGCCAGAATAAAATACCAACTGTTACCTTCTGTATAATATTTAAATAGAAATTATTATACAAATAATCTCTTCCTACGTATTGAATTCATCGAAAGTTACCATTTTGCATTAATTTCAAAGATTAGACATTTCGTTTCAACTTTATTACTTACTCGTTGGAGAGCCATTGGACTGATATTAATGTCGGACACCTGGTAATTATTACAAACCGATACTGGCGTGTCATCAGATATGATATTAATCTCTGCTGGGAACTAAATATTTGATGCAAGCCAACACGCGCCATGTTCCCAGGCGGCCGCCACTCACCGCACCACGATTCTATGACGAGGTATTATTGCAGTTGCTAGCACTCATTGTATAACCCCAGTGCACTCTATCGCTGCATCGAGCATTCATTTCATCCGCGTTTACAATGCACTGTGTATTGTTCACCTATAAGAGTGGGTATAATATGTTTTAGTGGAACTTAATGAAAAGATAACCAAGTTTTGTTGAAATTATCATATAAACACTCTGTAAACGAAATAAAAACAATTTCTAACTGTATAAATAGAAAAATTCAATCATTAATTCGATTTTTTATTCGTACTACTATTGAACATCAGCAGATTGTGCCATGGTCGGGTCCATTATTCGTTTGTTTACATTTTTATAAAAAATTTTTGTAACAAATTTGGTATTACCACAGATACTATAATATTATATGGTACTACCCGTGTGGTCGCCCTTCCTTTCCCGCGGGTGTCGTAAGAGGCGACTAAGAAGGGCCCCTCTTAAAACATCTCCAAAGTCTAATTGCGGTTGCCAATCCGCCTGCCAATCGTGGCAACTGCTGGCAAAACCCCCTTAGGGGGAGGCTTATGTTCAGCAGTGGACAGTTAAAGGCTGATGTGATGATGATGATATGGTATTTCATCGTTTTCAAAAAAACTACTGGAATTTATATAAACAACACTGATATACGTTTTAAACAGATATAATTAACAACAGCTAAAAAACATAGCACATTAGTCATCCTAACTTACGCGGGTAAAGTTAATAAAATTATAAAATACATGTGTGGAAAAGGACAAGCTTTCTCCCTCCATAGAAATCCATTCTAAATTCCATCAAATGTCAACAATCGCCAGCTTCAACAAAGATACGTTAAGTGAGCATTACATTTACTTATAAAATATATACCTAATCAATTAATAACCACTCTGGCTGACAGGTTGTCGTGACTTCACATTTTATTGTGATAATCGGGGATCTCACTGTCCATCAGTGTCTGTCTATTTCGATTTAATATGAGCTTCACTGCGGACGAGCCAGTAATAATTATGTATCGTCCGTCCTCATAATAAGGGCCATATTGCACTGTCAAATATGTGAAGTCATAGCTAGATCAGTGTAGCTGTTTATGATGATCTGTAATCCCCGGCTTTGACCATGTTAATTAATATTATAATTACGTGTTCAATATATATATATATTTATTAATCCAAAATACGATGCACGTGTACGAAATCTTATTTAAAATCCAACTACGTATTTAAGTATAATTAAGACATATATGGTAAGATCTTTAGAAACTTTTCCATTTATACTATTAGTAAGTAAAATGCATATTTAACATTATCATGATATCTTATTCATATGTAAAAGTTTGTATATAGATGACTTAATATTTGTAACTTAGCCAAACCACGTTCAATAGAATTTAAAGCACATTTCAACCATGTTTTGAATATATAAGAAGGAGGAGGAAGAGAAACTAGTGAGACTTGCCATATGGTCCCGGCGTAGTATGGGTCACTCCTTCCTTTCCCGTGAGGGTCAAATGAGGCGACTAAGGAAACTTAATGGCCGAGGAACGGGCAACAGCATCTCTTTTTAAACATGATCAAAACCTGTGTTTGCCAATTTGTCTGCTAAGCGTGACAACTACTGGTAAACCACCCCCAATAGGAAGCCTAAAATTAGCGGTGATTAGTAAACGGCTGCTATGATAATAATAATGATGACTTAGAGTGATAAATTTTCGTCTTTAAAAAATATACCTATGAGCTATATGTTGTACAGTGCGATATGCGCCTAAGGCAGGTTTCTCCTCTACTTTGCATAGCGCTCGTGGCAGTGTCGGCCGACTGAGCCGTGGTCCGCACCTAGTCCGTAGTCTGTGGCCTGCGATCCGAAGCCATTAAAGGCGCTACGAGTGCGGCCGCTCGTAAATTGTCCGCCTCTCACAATTATTATGAAGCTATTCAACCTGGCATTAATGTGCGAAATGCAGACTCCATCAATTTCATTATAGCCCTACTAGAGGGGGACAGGGATTGTTAATAATAGGGATCTAACAGCCCCATTGATAGCAATATACCAAGTATATATATCAAGTCAACCTCCATACTGCTCCTCCTGTAAACCATCTTGATTAATTGATGAATTCATCACTATGTGCCAACTGACCTGTTTCATCCTCACCTATCATCTCTCACTGGTGCCCCGCCATCGATAGCGCAGGCGAAGTATCCATTCCATTATCACCCAATAAAAAAACCCTACAAGAAAAAGGGGTTGCGAATTTTTAATAATAGGAACTAGCAGCCACATAGAAGCGATCGTGTTAATTTCTGGTGAATTAGTCACAATGGGCACACTGACCTGATTTCATTCGCACCTATTAACCCTCGCCAGCCCAAAATGGCAATATTGATTATCTGGCATATTCAAAATATCCAGGCGTATGTACTAACGCAAAGAAAGTCTTATATGTATAAATTATTATTTGTTCAAAAACTATTATTTGTTTGTTGGAAGTATCTACGAGATCAGATGTCCAATTACGAAGCAACAGTTTGTCTTTAAAGAACAGTTGTAATATTTTTTTTAATTGATGATAATGGAATAGTAACCCCGCTTGTACTAACGTCATATGCTAGCGGGACGCCAATGAGGAATAATAGATGAGAATGAAAACGCGGATCAGTTAACTCGTCGTGATGAATATACCTGGAATTCGGCACGATGGTTTCTAGGGGGATCACAGAGAAGTCGATATATTCGGTATATTGTTAGCAGCGGGATCGGTAGTCTGCATTACTAGCAATCCTATCTCATAACATCAAACATTGT